TTTGTGATTGAACAGTTTAAGGCTTTTAGCTAGAAAAAGCAACGATTGGAAATTAATAAGAAGAATATTGTCAATAAACCGACACATAAAACCTAAAACCATCTCACCTAAAAACCGACCCATCCAAACTCCCCTCTCTACCGTAATACTGGACGATATCCGTAGATATCGGCACAGAATTAGAAACGAACGAATATCAACCGGTAAAATCGTCGATTACGCCTAATCACGACCCACCCGTGACACTAGCCCGATATCGGATATACATGCACTACGTAATTGATCAAAATTTTGATGCAGAAACCGGACGATTTTTGTTCTATATATGCAGAAATCAGACGATTTGAAATCAAAAATGTTTGTAGAGATCGACACTCGACATGTGCATATAAGTGTGGTAATTCGTCTGATATTCAAAGTAAAAAATCAAGAAAATGAATTCATCAGTTAGTGAAATAGTTAACGGAATTACTGTAAATTCCAATACTATTAATAACCCTAGGATTACTACTCGTCCAATTATCTTTATTGATTCAAATAATCCAGCTAATCAGAATCAAATAATTACGCACAGTGACACCAGTTTAATGTTTAGACCTCCTTTTCCACCAGCACTTGAAGCCGATGATATTTTCTGCAAAAAACCAGATGGAACTAATCCTACCAAACCACCCAATGCATTCATGCTTTATCGTAGAGCATTTGTAAAGGTCGCTCTAGCTAATGGATATAAATTCCCAATGACTGTTATTTCTTCGATGGCCTCGCAAGCCTGGAGACAAGAATTACCTTTCGTCAAAGATGAATACAAAAAGCTTTCCAAAGAAGCAAAGAAAAATCATGATTTATTGTTTCCAAAAACGCCTAAAATATACGAATCCAAAAGATGGCGTGTATACCCAATTAAGCCAAAAAATAAACTTACTCCAGAACAAACTACACCTTTAATTACAAATAAAGAATCATTAATTATTTCTGAACCATCAACTTATCCTACACCAGAAGTTGTCAATGAAAATGACGTAACTTCTAATGAATGGGAGCAACTTTTCAACTTTTATGTTGATCTGTACAAAGAAAAGAACGACGAACAAAATATTTTTATTCGGGAAGATTTTCTCGAGAGTCACAACAATAATATGAGGTCAGATTTAGTTAATGTTTTGCAATCACAAAATATTCCTGAAATTTTGATTTATACTCAACATGGTACATTCTTAGATGTTGAGCTAACATCAGAGATAAATGAATCTCTAGATTCTTGTTGTTCTCCGATTGAACTTTCTAATTTCTGCCTACCAGAAGAATATTAATCATTAACCTTCATCATTCCTCAAGAAAAAAGATAATTTTTATCATCAAAATTCTATTGATAAGCTCTAAGAAATATTTTAAGCATTTACAAATAGCAACACAATCTTTCTTTTCTCACTAGCATAAATTTTGATATAAATATATTCACGATATCCACTCATTATACACACCCCTACGCTATATTACCAGAAATTGAAAAAAAAAATAGTAAAATTGACATTGTTTCTTTATATTAAAATTTGTTATTTTATTAATAAATATTTTTTATTTTTATACTAAAATAAAACGTGGGAAAAAAATTTTTCTATAATTAAAATTGAAAAAATTGCAATTTTAATTATAAAAAATTTTTTTTCCCACGTTTACAAGTGAACAAAAAATTTTAGAAGAATATATACCAAAACTATAGGTTATCATCTTTATTTTATTATTAAAATAAAAATATTTATTAATAAAATAACAAATTTTAATATAAAGAAACAATGTCAATTTTACTATTTTTTTTCAATTTCCAGTAATATAGTGTAGGGGTGTGTATATAAATAATGAAGATTTTTGTATAATAATAAAATTTAGTTTATATAAATTTCCGCTTTTGTATTTAATCAAATTATTTAAATAGTTTAATTAACAAGATTTTAGCAAACGTATTTGCTAATTTGCAAAAAAAAATACAGTGTGTCTTTAAACTAATAGCAAACTAGCAAACCATTCAATAATATAAACGTTTTTTCAGAAATTCTGATGCATATTTATTACTCAAAAAACAATAAATGAAAATGATGGTGTGTGCATCGTAAATGTAAGAATTATCAAATAAAAGAAGAGAATATATAAGTCGCGATATTTTTCTTTATATTTTAATTGCAATGATGTTCTTCATAACTAAGATAATATTTCTATATTTCAATGCAATTTTACAGCTTTTTGCTGCAAGTTTAGTTTTCTATAGTAAATCAGACTTGAAAACATATTAATAATCTTTATTTAATATAAAGGCTATCGCTATGTATTAATTTATTGTAAATTCGCTAATTTTTAATTAAACCTTGTGAATTTCGATTACGACAAGCTACAGTAATTAAACCGGATTGAAGGGTGAAACAGTCTATATACGTATATATCGCCGATTTTAGGAATTTGAACCTACGTAACTGACTTTCCACTCCGGTTTATCAGGCTTATTGTGTACATGTACTTGAAAGACCAAATATAAAAAAAGAAATCAATATATCCCTTAAAATTTCTATATGCTATATTTGTGATTCGTTTATGCATATTAATATGTACGTATGCACTATGATACGTATACGTATGTGATGTTTCAAAACGCATAACGATAACGATAAATTTACGTATGTGTACGTATGTATCTACGAAGAGAATTAATAATAGAGCATTCTACCTTTTCGGTTTTTAATAATAGGACTTCGGGTTAAAACTGTGAAAAAATTTGAAATAAGCAAAATTATAATTTAGTCTTTTAACGTTAACATTTCAATTTATGCTACTAAAAATATAAAAAAAGATAAAAGTTATAAACTATTGTTACTACTCTTCACTCTCTCTTACATCGGATTTACTATAAGTTTTGACATCGACTTTAACATGAAAAGCATTATAAATCAATATGCAAATACATGTAGTGCGACATACGTTACGTTGAGTTTTAACATGAAAAACATTATAAATCAATGTACAATAGTGCGACATAATTGTGGCTGGAATATGTTCCATTGTGCACTACATGTACGTATACTACGTACATACATACGTAACCGACAAACAATGATTTGAAATCAAAAAATGGATTGTGCATAAATACAAGTGTCAAGAATTCAGATATCAAAGTAAAAATTCAAACAGATCAAAAAATGTATTCATCAATAACGAAATCACTACCGTAAATTCCAATGATAAAAATAATCATAGCATTATTACTCGTCCAATTGTCTTTATTGATTCAAGTAATCTAGTTCACCCGAAATGAATGATTACACACAGTGATACCAGTTTAATGTTTACACCTTCTTTCCCGGAAGCCGATGATATTTTCGGCAAAATATCAAATGGAAATAATCTACCAAGCCACCCAATACAGTTATCCTTTATCGTAGGGCATCACTAAAGTCTGCTTTGGCTAATGGATATAAACACCCAATAACTGTTATTTCTTCGATGGTCTCGCAAGCCTGGGAACAAGAATTGCCTTTTGTCAAAGATGAATACAGAAAGATGTCAAGAAAAATTATGACTCATTGTTTCCAAAAGCACCTAAAATAAACGAATTCAGAAGTTGACGTGTATATCCTATCAAGCAATAAATAAATCTACACCGCACCTTTACCTGCAAATAACGAGTTTTTAATTATTTCTGAACCGTCTACTCCTACTGCACCAGAAAGTGTCAGTGAAAATAATATACATGTAACTTCTAATGAATATGAGCAGCTTTTTATCTTTTATGTTGATCCGAACAAAGAAAAAACGACAAAAATTACTTTTACATTTATTTCTCGAGAGTTACAACAATTGAGACTGATCATGATGCATTCCTAGATATCGAAATTAGTACTCGAAATATTGAGGAGAAAACTCAATTAAATGAGTCCCTAGATTCATATTGATCTCCAGTTGAACCTGTCTACCAGAGAATACGAACCATTAGACTTAATGATTTATGAAATCTAATCATTTGAGAACTTGGATGAATAATTCCTTCTTTGCTTCTTTCGAAATTTTTTTGTATTCACCTTTGACAAAAGGCAATTCTTGTTCCCAGCTTGCGAGGTCATCGAAGAAATAACACTCATTGGGTGTTTATATTCACTAGCTAGAGCAGACTTTACAAATACCCTACGATAAAGGGTGAATGTATTGGGTGGCTTGGTAGAATTAGTTACATCTGATTTTTGCCGAAAATGTCGCCGAGGAGGTCTAAACATTAGACTTAGACTGGTAGCACTGTGTGTAATCACTATTGCGGGTTAACTGGATCAATAAAGATAATTGGACGAGTAGTAATGGTAGGGTTTTTCATTGGGATTTACGGTTAATATTTCGTTAATTGATGAATTCATTTTCTTAATCTGTTCGATTGATATTTCATCCAAACTTTTGATTGAAACTCGACGTGATACATTAAACTTTCATAAATCGACATAAATTTTGTTTTCATGTAAAATAATTGTTAGAATTTTATATTCTTTAAATGTGCCTGAAAAATTTGCTTACTATCATTTTATATTATAGTGTAATAAAATTTTATAATTTGCTTTTTGACTGAAAACATAATTAAGAGATTTTAAAAATGATATCTAAGAGTATTATTGGAATTTCTCAACAAATTTTTAGTATTTCGCTAATTTTTACAAAAAAATACTCAAAAAATATTTAAATAATTGATTATGTAGTTAAACTAACAGCAATCATTATAATAACTTAATCAAACTATTTAATCTAATAAAATTTTTTTCCTTAAACACAATAAAGCAAAAAGTTCCCATTATTTAATATAGACTTAAGAAATTTCTTAAGACATAAATCCATTAGTAACGTATGCCAGAACATTGCAGGAGCGACATTTTCAAAAAGACCATCCATGATATCCACTGGGAACTATCTGTAAATTTTACTGATCACAGCTCAAGTAGGATACTTCGACTATTAGTAGCATTTACGAGCAGTTTCAGTCTTGGCCTTTTCAACATTATCATTTAACATTCAAATTCCTTGCTTATACAAAATGAGCTAATTTTTTCGCAAATTTTGCACATACAGTATATATCAAAATGTTGACCAGGAACAAATTCTTATGTAATAAAAAATCTCTTAATTCATAAAAATGAAACTAAACTGATGATGATGGTCTTATTTATATAGTCTATAAATTTATTTTAAATATTATTGCTGTGGTTCAAGTAATCTATACTCAACAATTTGTTTCAATTTTTAAAATCTTTTATCTCAATGTAGAGACAAAATTTTCAAAATTTGACCGGTAACTTTATAGAACTTTTCATAAAGAACAAAGTTACCGGTCAAATTTTGAAAATTTTGTCTCTACATTGAGGTGAAAGATTTTAAAAATTGAAACAAATTGTTGAGTATAGATTACTTGAACCACAATACTTACCACAGTTGATTGGATCTCTCGTGTAAACGTAAACAGATTCGCATTCGAGCAATCAGACCTAACGCTAACCTATTAATTAACATAATTTAATGTAGCCACAAAAGGCAATGAATATCTAGCTGCAAAAAAGATATTATTTTGAGTACATAAGAGTTAACGTTAATTCTGAATTTTTGATTCTCTTTATTTTTATAGATTTTGCGGTAATCCTCCGCAGTCCAAAAATCGAATTCAGAATTTTTGCGACCACGTGAGTGGTAATTGTTTATCCTGTAAGAAGAAGCTGGAAAAAAATCATTAATACGTAATAGCAGAAACGGTTACAATAAAGTTTGATTGACCTCCGCAACAATTAGTAATGAAATCACCAAGCCATGAATATTTTTGTTGAAAGGTAGGTTCCATTAACAGATTAATGAATTATCACAAGCATGATGCCACACGTGTGTGAATATAATTTCGTGTAAACACCAAATTCAAAAAGGTTGTATAGAGAGAATAATCAGTGAAATATGCTAACATCCGAAACCATCTCGACAATATGTCGTAAAAACACATATTACCTTCAGGTAAAACAAGCGCATACAGATAACTTTCTTTGGAACTATATCACCAATGTTAATTACAGGATACAACTTTATTTTTACTCTTACATTTAGTCCTGTATTGTTCAAATAGTTCAGCATTCTATATGGAACCGGGAATCTTGTTTGATGTGTCCTTACAAATGATGGTGGTTTTGACTTTTGTTGTGACGGCTTTAAGATCAGCCTTTCCGGAAACTCTGTGAAGTTTACCATATTAATGTTCTCTTTCTCTGACAGCGTTATTTCGTCTGGCCCCTCAAAAAAATTATAAGTTCGACTTTATTGATCAAACATGAAGTAGAACATAAAATCAGTAGATTTGCTATCTAGTTTTGAGTAAACATCTCCATTCATGTCTCCCTTGGTTCCATAACCTACTTGGTCGGTGCAGCCTGATTGATGGACGTCTTGATAAACTCTTTTGGATCTTTTTCGGATATAATAATAGGCGTTTTTGTGTATATGTACATGTATCGACTATCTCGCGTGATCGCAAAAAAGTGAGGTCAGCCAATTTTTATTGGCTCCTGAATAAAAAAAGCTTATTTTAATAAAACACCTTTGAAAGGTCAATGAAAAGCTTTTTGAATTTGCACAAATATTGAAAACCGAAAAACATTAAATATTTGTAACAATAAATTTTTTTCATTCTCATAAGAATATATGTTACTCTCGAATCTCCTAAATTTAATAGGATAGTTTCACACTTCAATAAGTATTTTATGATTAGTTTTTAATTTAATATATTTTATTTATTTCTATAAGCTTGGTCACTTTAATACGATTATTATTGTTTTCATAAAAATGTTTTTTGCATGAGTTAGTATGGAGCTCATCAAAGCATCTGGAATTTTAGTTCTGTAAGTTTTGAAGAGTTCCGTACGAATTCACGCAAACTTTTTATAACGATAAGGATTTCAAGAATTATAATCTTCTAAATAATTTAACGTTAACGTTATCCAAATAAACACGAATTAGAGAATGGTATAATACGTGATGAAAAATTTATTTATGAGACAACTAAACAACTAATTTAAAGTATTTAGTTCATAAAATCTATACATTTCGGATGTAAATTCTTAATGTTAACTTAATTATATCAAATATTATCGTAATCATATTTCATTCAATTTATGATTTTTCCTGTAATTTTCAATTTATCATTATGATGTTTACTGAAATTCAAATTTTTGTACACTAAAATATAATTATTGAAAAAATTATTTTTAAACGAATGTCTTGTTTTTGTTATGTCATTGCTACAGTTCTAAAAATGCAATGTAAAAAGCAAATTACTGAAATCAATAAATTCCATGAATTTAAAATATAAAAAATTGTAGATACAAAAATTTTTGTATAGCAATGGCACTTTAAAGATGATTGCGAGCAGAGAATTCTTTTTGTTGTGATTGAAAAAACTTACGATGAGAATTTACACGCTTAATTTTCAAATATCCTTTTTGTTACCAAGAAAGTTTATTTAAGCCATTGTTGATAATTAGGGCATATAATTATTCAATTACAATGTTTTATAAAATAAGCGATACGTAGAAGTCAAAAAGTACAGTATTGTGTAATCAATCAATTCTAATGAAACACGCAATTTAGATAATAATGAAAACATAAAATTATACTCCGTTAAAAGTTAGGTATATTAAATCGGTTGTTAACCATTCTTTAAGATATAAACCAAAGCAACCCTTAAGTTTACTTGACAAAAATTCGAGAGTATAGGTTAAAAAACTACGGGGCCATAGTTTAACATTATGGTCATTAATTGGTTTGATGTGATTTAATAGAAAAGAAGCTAACACGTGTGGAGGTAATCCAAAATTGATATATAATTTCATATTTGGATCCATTGTTTCGATAATTCTATCCAAAAGTCATCAGAAAGCGAGTCAAGGAGTTCAAAGAAGATTGATCTCGGTATTAAAAGCTGCAAGTTTTGAAGTGATGTTATTGTTTGAAGAAATGGTGCTGAAGCATTCTTAAGCAAAATTTCCAAAGAAGAAATATTTTTCGCATATTCCGCAATGACTTCGAACAATTCTTGAATACGATCTGTTTCTGTTTGAATTGTAAGCTCCTTTAAATTGTTTCCAACGATTTTATCAATGGAATCACGAATTTATCATTAATTGCGGCGGAGCAATATAATTTGTTTAACTTCGTTGGAAATTGGGATAACTCTGTCCACCAATCAATAACAAAGTTTTCATGTCGGCTGTTCCAGCACGATCTAAATGCTATTCCCTCCATTCTTGTAAATATCGCCAGTTTTCCAAGTAAGGTTACTGTCCAAATTGAGCGAGGAGAATAGCGGAATTCTAGGTGAACTAGAGATTTTACCTGATGCTGAAAAGCATGAATAATTGAAACATGTTCATCTCCAATATTTGCTAACATAATATGCTCAAAATTATGAGTAAATCACAAAACTGATGAATATCGCTTAATTCAAGTCCACTGATATTGATTTCCAAAATCCTGATATTACGGCTCAGCAACTTTAATGCATTTATTAAATATATCAAATTTTCTGGATTGATTTCCGATTCTCTTTATTGGTTGTAGGTCAGTGAAAGCTTGACTTTTTTCAATTTTGCCAAAACAAACGGTGCATAAAATGATGAAGTGAAGTCCGGAATAAAGGAAAAATGATCTTTTGTATTGACAACTAAACTTTCTAAATTTTCAGCGGTTCGGAAGATAAGCTTATATGTTTGTGTGAGAAATTGTATACATGTATTATGCGCAACGGAATCGTCCGAGTTATTGAGAATGTACCAACCAACCCCTGTTCCAAGTGTTCCAAGATCCTCGCAATTAAAATTTTTGATAAAGAAGTGTACAAGAAAGTGGCTGAGGATAAGATTCTTTAAATTTATTCCTGGATTAATTATCGCATTACGTTCCTCGTCATTCATGCATCTACTTAGTGTTTCTGTAATACATATTCCTTCTCTATCTTTCAAAATGCTAGGAATTGAGTGCCATAATAATGGAATTATGAGACTGTACCAGGTTCATTAACTAACGCAACGAAAAAAATGTGTTTTTATCATCGATGAGAAAAGTCAATATTCTGGTAAAGCAGTCGACTGGTAAAATTAGAAATTGAATTTTTACTAGAGCTCAATTTTTTGTTTCTATTTCATTTCCATTTTCATTTTACAGTTAAATGATTATAAACTACCGTAAAACGCCGTGTAAACCCCCTTGGAGAAAATTTAAAGTTTAATTTAGTTCGATTTCTTTAATAAAACCAATTATGCTCCTGCAAAATGAATAAATCAAGATTCACTGTTTAAATTTTCTCCAACGAGGGGTAGTTTACACGGCGTTTTACGGTAAATATTGAATATCGATATTGCAAGCAATTGATATATCACCTTCATACCATACTATGAAACAAAAACCTTCTGATCAAACTATAATTCAACAAACACTAATAACAACTATGCCACTAGGCTTTAATCCCTTTATATAATTCCTATACCATGAATTCTTTACTAAATTTGATCAGGTTCATAATGGAAAAGGAGTATATGCTGCTTTGAAATTTTTTTTGAGCAAAAAAATATTACAGTTAATGCTATAAAAGATCTAACAGATAATGGACTAGGTGTATCAAAAATTAAATGGCGGAAAAATATAAAACAAGCAGCTCAAAAATATTAATATAAATATTTAAGATATAAGCAATCATTCTATTGCACGTATATATCACTTTTAACTAATAAATTATTATATGCAAAGTATCATTTATTTTTCAACTAAAGAATCTGTATTAGACTTTAGACTTAATAAAAATAATAAAAAATATTTTAGAATTATTTACATTTTTATATTATTTCTCAAGAAAATTACATCCAACATAAAATAACCTCTAAAATTAGATTAAGTGAATAAGACCATTAATTACGTTCATAAAATCTCGATTATGTCTAATACAACTTTTTATAGTACTAAATGCAGTCTCAATCAGATTTAAATCAGGAAAGTAAGCTGGAAGAAATTCGATATGGCTTCCCAACTCTTTTATCATTTCAATTAGCTCACTATCATGATAAAATTTTACCAAAATTATATAAAGTTATTTGAAAATCAGAATAACACTGACTACCTGTGAGAGCACAAAAACTGATTTTGATACAACTGCCCTCCATTAGATCAACAGTCAATATTCCATCCAAAGATGATGCTGGTATGATTGCATAACACTTATACATGTATAAAAACACAATTCTTGTAAGCATGCACATTATCCATTGCATATCTATACAGTGCGGGATCGCATAAACCGACTCCTCAGAATGATATTTTAACTTCTAACTAGTCATTCAATTTTCATTAAACAAAAAAACTGTTCTAGCCAAAATGTTCTTTTTGTTGACTAGTAATAATTTAAAATATCGTTCAGGGTATCAGTTTATGCTGTCCCGCACTGTAGCACTGTGTAAGATTTCATTCATCTCTGCATTTCATCCATAAATATTAACTGCTCTAAGCTATAATCCGTTCCAATATTGGTAATAAATATACTGCGCACAATTTTATTTCTTTCCTGTGCTGCTTTTTGTAACTTCAATAAATAATACACTGTTAGCTAAATAGAAAACATAAATATATTGCTAGACTATAGAAAAGTCACTTTTTTATGAGTAATGTCAAAGTGATTTAGAGAACACCATAAAGCTGGAACTGAGACATGTTTTCCAGTCAAGTTTTCCATTTCGACCAAATGTTCATCTAGATACCAGTTGACCTTTTTCTTAACCAGATTTTTTAAGAATAATCAATTCTTCAGGTGCGAACAATTTTCATCTATCTGGTGAAGTCTTGAAAAGATTAACTAAATGTCTCCATTTATTAAAGGTTTTAAGAATCGCAGCAATCTCATGTTCATTGTTGCCATCCGCGTGAAGGTATACTACCCGTTAATGTAAATCATCACTCAGTTCCCTAAAGCGAAATGCAAAAGTTGCTCTAATCTCCGGGACTCGCTTTAGTATTTACGTGTATTTGAGATTTACGCTAATAAGAAACTCATCAAAATACAAATAATAGGAAAGCAAAAAGACACTGGCAAAATGAGTTACACGAAATACGTGCATGTACGTAAAGTGACAATCTACGTATGTTGTAATCATGGGATCGATAAAGTACATGTATCGGTATTACAAATTCACCATTCGGACTACATGAACATGTACGTACGTATTATCGTGTGCTCATGTAACGGTAACGGTAATACAACATTTTTATGCTATCGCTATATCGATATGTACCAAGACGTGTGTTTAACGATACTAAATCAATGACATCAACTACAAGTGTGAATGCAAAAATGC